CACTTATGGGGCAGTGATGGGGGGCCAGTTATGGGGTGAGGTTATGGAGTGGGGAGGTGCTTATGGGGCAGCAATGGGGCACTTATGGGGCAGTGATGGGGTGGGGACACTTATAGGGCACTTATGGGGTGAGGTCACTTATGGGGCAGTGATGGGGCACTTATGGGGCAGTGATGGGGTGGGGGGCAGTTGGGGTGGGGATGCTTATAGGGCACTTATGGGGCGAGGTCACTTATGGGGCACTTATGGGGCGCCGTACCTCGATGTAGTGGTCGGTGAACTGGGGCTCAAAGGAGCAGCACGACCCGAAATCCAGCAGCGTCAGCTGTGGGGCAACGGGGGGCGGCTGTTATGGGGCGGCTGCTATGGGGCGGCTGTGGGGTCTCTGTGGGGTCCCTATGGGGTCCCTATGGGGCTTATATGGGATCTCTCTATAGGTCTCTATTGGGGCAGCTATGAGGTCTCCATGGGGTTTCTATGGAATCCTGTATGGAGTCTCTATGGGGCAGCTATGGGATCTCTATGGGGTCCCTGTGGGATCTCTATGGGGTCCCTATGGGGTCTGTATGGGGTCCCTGTGGGATCTCTATGGGGTCCCTATGGGGTCCCTATGGGTCCCTGTGGGATCTCTATGGGGTCCCTATGGGGTCTGTATGGGGTCCCTATGGGTCCCTGTGGGTCCCTGTGGGTCCCTGTGGGATCTCTATGGGTCCCTATGGGTCCCTGTGGGTCCCTGTGGGTCCCTGTGGGTCCCTGTGGGATCTCTATGGGGTCCCTGTGGGTCCCTATGGGGTCCCTATGGGTCCCTATGTGTCCCTGTGGGTCCCTGTGGGTCCCTGTGGGATCTCTATGGGGTCTCTGTGGGTCCCTATGGGTCCCTGTGGGTCCCTGTGGGTCCCTGTCCCCGTGCGCAGCCCTGACCCGCTGTTGCCGGGGGTCGAAGAGGAAGTTGGCGGCGTTGGCGTCGCTCTGCAGGAAGCGGAACTCGAAGAGCTCCCGCAGGCACAGGCGGAGCAGCAGCGAGCAGAGCTGGGGGCGGAGGTCAGGGGTCAGGGGTCGGGGGTCGGGGGTCGGGGTCCGGGCTCGGAGGCGGGGCCTCACCAGGTCCCGCTGCAGCTGCGGCAGGTCCTGGCAGCGCGATAAAGGCCGGCCCTGCGCCAGCTCCGTGCTCAGCACCCGGCCGGAGCTCAGCTCCGCCACCACGCGCGGAACTCGAAGGGCCGGGTCTGCGGCCAGCAGGCGGCTGGGGGAGGAGGGGGGTCGTATGGGGTCAGACAGGGTGTATGGGGTCATATGGGGTCAGGGGGTTGTGGGGTCATATAGGGTGTATGGGGTCAGGGGGTCATATAGGGTCATATAGGGTCATATAGGGTCATATAGGGTCGTATGAGGTCATATAGGGTGTATGGGGTCATATAGGGTCATATAGGGTGTATGGGGTCATATAGGGCCATATAGGGTCATATAGGGTGTATGGGGTCATATAGGGTCATATAGGGTCATATAGGGTGTATAGGGTCATATAGGGTCATATAGGGTCATATAGGGTGTATGGGGTCAGGGGG